GAAAATGATCTTCTTAAAAATGTAATACAAAGCTAATCTGTTATACAGATAGCGCAAAATGAAGATCTAAGCTAAAAAAAATCTAAAGGAAGATAACCCAATCAAAATTGTTACAAATTATTACAAATTTTATTAATTATTATAAATTTTATTAATCATTATGGATTTTATCAATTATAATGAATTTGTTAATTATTATAAATTTTATCTAATGAATAATAAGGTGAAATATTTTATTATTATGAAAATAATTTATTAGATATTATTAATAAAGAAAATTAAATTTATTCTCAGGATCTATACTAAATAAGACAAATTATAATTGTTTATAGATTAGTAGTAGAAATTAAGATTGATAACAAAAATTACTAGATCTATATTATACTATACAATCATATTATTTTTTATCTATTTCTCTCTTTATATAAAAATACTCAATTATATATTTTATATAACTAATCTCATAGAATTATAATACTTTTTCTTTAAATAAATCTTTTACAGATGATGTAAATTTATTAGAATAATTCAGAATAATCTTGATTTAATTTATATATACAAGTATTATACTTGTATGATTATAAATATTTCAAAAATAGAATATAACATGTTTATAATATACCTTCTTGATATTTTGGAACTGTAAATTATATCTTGTACTTGGCATAGTTTTATTATTTCAAACTAAAAATTGATTTAAATTTAAAGATATTTCACATCTATCAATATAAAACTATTATTTCGAGATAATAAAGAGTCTCAAATTGAGATTTTTAATTCAATTAATAGTTATTTTTGGTTAATAATCATATATATCAAATACTATTTGAAATAACTAAATTAAAATAAATATTAAATATAAGAAATTTAAATTAATATTTAAGATTTCAAACTTAATCTATTCAAAATCTTTCAGCTATATAAGTATTATATCAAGTATATAACTATTAAAATATATTTTTTTTAGTATAATATATTTTAAAATTATCATAGTTATTCTATATCTTTCTTAAAATAAAAGATAGAATTATTTTGAAAATATTTGAATATTAAATTTAAATAAATAATTGCTTTAAGATATTTCAAAAAAGATAAATGATTGAATATTTCTTAAAGTCTAATATTTTTAACTAGATTGGTATAAAAATAATATTTGTTATGAACTATAGATTGTAATATTTATATTATTTATTTAAGAGAAAATTATCAATAATTTCAATATGATTCTAATCAAGTAATATATTCTTTAATATATAATAAATAATGAAAATTTATTATAAATATACTTAATTATTCTTTAATATTTTGATTATAATAACTTAATAAATAAAAAAATTAAATAATTATAAATATTTATAAGAAAATTAATTATTAACTTATATAATATAATTATTAAAGAAATTAATAAATTTTTGATATATCTTTTAAATCTTCAAAGAAATAATTTTTTGATAATATAGCTAAATAGTCTTGATAAATTTTTTTAATAATTTATAAATCTATATAAAAATTAATTTAATTAATATATTAATAAATTTTATGATTCAAATAATATAAAATGTATCTGATAGATAAATATGATAAAAATAATAATTAATTCATTTTTAGTTTTAAAAGCTTCAAAGTATAATATATAGATAGATTCATAATTAATTTTTATTGATATATTTTTTGAAATATTAGTTATAAACTTTTCAATGTGATTTCAAGTTATTTTATTAATAATATAAATATTATTATTTGAATCTTCATTTTTAAAGTAATTTTTCTGCCAATATTATAATATTACAGATATTATTTCTTCAAAAAAAGATATATAATTTTACTTAAAAGTGAATCAGAAAAATAAATAACTTTTAATTAAAATAAAATGCAAAAATTTTTGATTTATTAAAATAAAAATTTTAATTAATTTATATTTAAATAAAAATTATAAATAAATTATTACTTCTTTTTATTATATAAATACTTTTTGCAATTTTAGTAAGAGTTTCTATTTTTTCAATATTATATAAGTATTTTTTATAGTTTTAATTTAAAAGATTATAAAGATCATAAATTATTATTGAATTTTTATATTAAAAGAATTATAAATATATTAAGAATATATTTTATGCAAATTATAAAATCTGTAATTTATATAAGAATTATAACTATTAAATTAACTAATTTAAAAATTGCAAATATTTTATTTACTATAGATACAAAAAAATTATTCATATTTTTATATTTTTTATTCTAGAAATTATAGATAGTTCTTTAATTATTTTATTTAATTTAAATTTATTTTCATCTAAAAATAAAATAAAATAATTTAATTTATAAGAATGAAAATTATATATCTTTATTAAAAAATTTTTATATTATTAACTATAATATTATCAAGTTTATAATTATAATTATTCAAAATATTTCCAGAATTTAATTAATATTTTTATTAATATTTGTTTCAGTTTATTTTAAATATTATTATAATTCTATTCAGATTAGAAAAATTTTCATATTATTATGAAAAATTTACTTCTAAAAGTACAAATAAACTATAATTAGAAGTTATATCTTCAATTGATAAAGAAAATATATAAGTATTATTACTTAATAAACTAAAAAAATTAAATATAAATAGTAAATATAAATATTATTTACAATTATTATAATTATATATTCTATTTACTTATTATATTTTTAATCATATTTATTTATTTCACATTTACATTTAGTTTATGACAGTTTATATCTTTTTTTATATGTAATCTTGGTTTTTTTATATATTAATTTTTCATTTGGAAATATTTAAAATATTATGAATATATTGAGTTCATTTACTTATTTTATTTTAAAAAGAAAGTCAAAAAACCATATATAATTATATTTAAGTAGTTTATAAATATCGATTAGATTATCAATTTATTAATAATACAAATATTTTTTTAAATTATTTCTATATTTATCAAACAGATAAATTATATTATTTATATTTTATTAACTTTTATTGAGTTTCACATTGATATAAATAATTTAATTAGATATAATTAGTAATAAATTTTATTGAAATATAGATATATTATTATTTTAATTATTTTCTATATGAATATTATTATACATATCATAAATATATTTCTATATTTTCAAAATAATTTGATAAATAAATAAATAGCTTGAAAATTTCGAAAAAGATATTTTATTTTTTTAAAATTATCTGTCATGATTTTAACTATTAGATATAATTATGTCTCTTTCTGATATTAAAACAAAATATTACTTTATCATAGACTTTTATTTCAAGGATACACTCTCAAAATATTTTGATATAAAAGTCAAAGTATAACTCTAATGGAAATAGTTGACAAAAATTAATAATATATAATATACTAATGTCAACCAAAAAATTATTTTTATATTAAAAGTATTTATATTTTAACTATTTTTCTTTTATAAAACAAGTCTAATATATATCTTTTTTAATAGAATTCCTTCTAATATCTAGTGAATATTAAACAAGAACTAAAATATCTTTAATTTCTAAGAATATCAAGCAGAGTTAATATAAAATAGTCACAAAAAATTTTCTGTATTTGATCATTATATTGATATTGGCCTTTTAAAGAAGCATTAAATTAGTATATAGAAGGCAGAAATAATTTCAATTTTATATTTTATTTAAATATTTACTATTTTCTAAGCTTATTTTTTTAATAATATATTACAGGAGATATCATATAGCCAAGAAGACAGATTCTGCATGCCATCGGAAAGAAAAAGCAATAATGAAAGGCCAAGTAACTCATTCTAAAAATCTTCCAGATAAAATTATTGAAGTACAACTATTAGCTGAAGACAATACAAAAGATAATGATAATGATTTTCAGGTTAATTATAATATTTTTATCTATAATTAATTTCATTACTATTAACGTGGTTTTAAAATTTTTATCAAGTTACCACCGATGAAATTGACAAGGAAATAGCTCATCTGCAAGCTTTAAAAAAGTGCAACACCAAAAATCTTCCCAAAAAACATAATCTGAGTAGGTATATGATGACAAAAATGAATTGACATTGTAATTTGTCTAATTTTACATCTTTATTTACTAATAGGAGAACGATCTAAAAAAGCAAAAAATATTAATGGTAGTAATATTCATCCAAAAGTATAAATTTAATCAATCTGAAAATAGAAATTCAATTACAAAATAATTACGAATATTAACCTGAAATTATTCCATAAATTGACGAATATTAACCCGACATTATTCCATAAATTGTGAAAAAATTATGATACGGAACGTGGAAAAAATTCCGTATTTGCTACGGAATTAATTCCGGGTCATTCCGTAACGTCAAATTCCGTAGTTGTTTCATAGGAGTGATGGATTTGGAAAATCTTTACACAATAGTTAAAGTTCGTTAAATATAATCGAAATAAAAAAATTTTGTAATTGCTCATTTCATTTCTGCTATATTGTTGCCGCCGTAACATAAACCGTGATCAGGGACCAATACATTTCCTGATTTTGTACTCCTATAAGTAATGTGTAACGAAACCTTAAAATACATGTAGTATTGTCCCAGAAATTCCTATAAAATTTCCTACCTTGTGACGCGATCCCAAAAATTCCTATTAAATTTCTATTTTGTAGTATCAACATTAATCGATCCCAGAAATTCCTTACCTTGTAGTATCAACATTAACGTCGCTTCCCCAAAAGCAAGAAATATCTTATTAAATTCCTACCTTGCGCGTCCAAGATATTGATTATCGATATAGATTTCTACCAAATGTTCTTACTTTGTACGTTCTCACTCATTTGCGTGATCCATAATTTTATAACGTAATAATAATTTTTTTATTTTATTTTCTTTTACACAAACATTTCACATTAATTCCAATACATTATCTTATCGTACACATCTCCTTTTTCTTTTTGTGTAATTCCTACTAAATTCTTATTTTGCGCTCTAATAACCCACAAATCTGTAATTAAACGAATTATATTTTAGTTGGTTGTGTACAGGCAATGCATGGTTTGAAGAAAATAACTAAATAAAATTATTTTTAACTCTTGCCTAACTACGTCTCAGCTTATGTTTCTTTTGTGTCAAAACGAAATTGATAGCTTTAATTCTCTTTGTGCTTAACAAACTGAAGGCTTTACCGCTTTGGCTATACAAAGTCGATGCATTGCGTTTAATACTTTTATATTGATTTTGCTTTGATATTATCTTTTATTATTTTGATATTAGCTTTATTTTTTTGATTCTTTTGTTATTTTGGATACCAGTCTGTTGTAAATACCTATTATTGTTTTGGAATAGTTATATAATTTATTATTTGTATTGGATATTCTTAATTTTATTAGTAAATTCTGCCTCTTTAAATTCAAGTTATTAATTGAGCTTTACCTATTGCCCAGTCTCGTGAAAGTTTGGCACAGGAGACATTTAGAACCACAGAAATCCCACTTAATGTAAGCCATTCATCGACTCTTGTTAAATCTTTAAATTCATTAATCAACTTAACTTCCGAATTGAGTGTGACAATACTGTAAATTCCAAATTTTTCAATTCTTTAAATAATATTTTATTTAATATATTTTTTTATTTATAATAAAAAATTTAGTTGTTGATTTTACTTGGCGTACTTGCCCAAATTTCATATGTACGTTCAAAATCAAAATCATCTCTATGTGGACCATTATATAAATTAATAAAGATAATTAAGAGTTGTATTAATATGCATTTGATTTCTAAGTTTAGTTTTGATCAAATATTGATGGGAAATATACATTTTGCTATTGCATTAGAAATGTAAGTGTTAGAAATAAAGCTATAATTTTATCTGAATAGAATATTCCTAATCCAATTTTATTTTCACCGAATAATTATTTTTATTATTGTCGTTTCCATTCAAAATATTCAGTGTGTTTTAGTGCATATAAGCTCAAGGACGTGTACAATTATCAATGTATCTCATTTTCTAAAATTTTAACTTTTGTTTAAAACTACATGTATTATAAGTCGAAATCTTGCTATAGTCACATGGTCCAGTCATGCATTTTTGTGCTTCTACTCGGGATCGTAATGAGGATTGAGACTAACATGAACGAAAATTTATGTAAATATACATATAATTAGGCAGAAAATTAATGCAACTATAGACAATTGCGGGTGTGATATAGCTTGCATTTAAATTTTGCGTTTCATAAATCGTAGTGATTCTCGAATTTCATTTTGACGATTGCTCGAAGCAATAGTTGAATCAGACGTCTTTATTTTAGGATTTACAAACTATTAATACAGAAGATTTTGAAATATACATGCATTAAATATATTTTCCCTTGGTTGTTTTGTCATTTTAAGCATACATTTTAAATTCTCGTTATTAATGACAGTCCATTATATAGTTAAATAAAAGGGTGCTGCCCAAAATTCTATAAGTCATAATCTTGATACCCAAAACTACGACATTCCTAAAAAAATAAATAGAAGAAATTTTATTTATGAAAGAATAAGGATAATAGAATTCTAATACAAATTTCACCCTTAATAATCCTTACGACAGAGGTAATCATTATTTATGAAACGCACCTATATACATTTCTTATTATATAATTTTGAGTGTATTGCAAGGATTTTGGAAATGTCGGAATGTTGGGAAGTCAGGATTTTGTGAATCTGAGGATTTTGGGCATTCGGGATTTTGATATTTCAAGATTTTGGCTTTCGCGATTTTGGGGTAGTTTTACGCTTTTCTCCAAAAATGGCTATCTCGCGAAAGTAAGGCGTAGCACGACGACAATGAGATAAGGCTGAATGATTCACAAGGCGAGGAGTTCTCTGATTGCTCCAAGGATCTCCCGTGACAGTTTTACGAATACGACATCTAAAAAGGGGGTAAGAAGGTATTTTTAATTGTGTTCTCGACAAAAGTTGACTGTTCACGCGATTCAAATGAATATGTCCAATACCAACACATAACGAGAAGAGTTGGACTACTGACACAGCCAACGAACTACTCAATACGAAGAATTAGGCACACAGAAATTCTACGAGGCACTAAGCAAATCAAACAAGGCACAAAGCAAATTAACAGCTGGACTTATCCAATGCCAACTAATAAGAATTACTAAAGGTTATGGTTTATTTATAGTGGAGTTCTTCCACTATCTATTTATATTAGGCACAAAAGAAATAAAAGCCACTTGTACGCAAGATTTGAAGGTTATCAATAATGTATTCAAAAACACTCGAATTATTATAAGTAAGAGGTTTTCCTTTTATTATTGATTAGAGCATATCTTTCTTTAAAGGCAATATATGACCTTTTTATACAAATATATCGATATTATATCTATATTATTTACGTCAGAATTTTCTCATAAACAATAAGTAAATAAATGCATGTTTCTTAAGAAATTAGTTTAATTTCGAAAAATGTAAAACAAAGAAATTGAAACGGGACTCACGAACGGTGCTGGCATTAGTCCAGAAATTACAGGAATATTTGTGTCAGGTAATTACGGAGGAAATTATGGGACTCACAAATCGCTATGTTGCTACAATAACGATGTTGGTGTCAGGTGTTTAATTGTTGACAGTAGTTGCAAGGCGAATTGATTAATTATTACGACAATGATGGACATAAAGTGGACCGCTGCGATAGCACTTTGTGTCAGATATTGATTAAGATAATAGATTCTACAAAGCGTGAGATATTATTGAGTCTATTGTTAAATTCCGATTGTTAAAGTGTCGAATAATGATTTGTTAATGATAATTGTTATGTGTTAATTGCTGTCGCGACTGTATATATATCTAAAATAATAATTTATAGAGAAGACAAATAATAATATTTATTGTATTTTATATTACATGTAATATATTATTCTGACAAATATCCAATAAAAAATTTTAGCTTAAAAATTTATTTTTTCATCCTATCGTTTAACGTACGCTGATTCTTACACTTCCTTTACTGCAGATTTCGCTGTAAAAATCAGAAGACATTATTTATTATTTATTGCAAATAATATCTTATATTATATGTACAGTATCCCAAAAACTATCTCCCGGTTCAAAATTATAAAGTAAAACATATAAAAAATGGAAATTTCATGTTATATACATACACATATTTTTTCTAGTATTATTTTTAAATTTTATATCATTTTAAAGCTCATGAATTAAATTATACTTTTACAAAACTGTGGCAATTTAAAGTGTAAAGGTCATTTTGATTGCAAAGGAAATTTTTTTTCAGACTATATGAATAAAATTTTTCCCACGCTTTAGTAATTATTTCTAACATTTATACCTTTTTAAATTTAATCAATTGTAGTTTCAATAAATGATTCTTAGCTGTGGACGATTTAAGATGAAAGAACTGTTTTAATTATAAATCATGGAAAAAATTTTTATATATATTTTCAAATCGGACGATATTTTTTTGGGGATACTGTACAGTCAACTCTGTAGATTGGGATCACCACTTTTGGGCTATTATATTATCCTATTGATATAATAACATTATATATAAATAAGTTAAAATATCATTATAACGAATTTATTTATAATTAATTAAAGAAGTCGGTAACTTTTGTCAGCTTCTTAGTATTGATATTAAGTTAAAATACAAAAGCTATTTTAATAACTTTACGAGGCATCTATCAACCAGTTTAAAGTTTCAAGCTCTATTAAATTGTAATTTTCATTCAATGCAACTACTAATTTAATATTCATTTTGGGATGTTTGGGCTGTGCACGAACCTGTTCCTCGAAAAATCCTAAAGATGTTCAGTTGAATTAAGATCGGGACTTTGTGCAAGCCAAAAAAATTTATTCAATAATATTTTCTTTTTTTCGTTCTTCTACTCTACTCATACTATGGGAAGTGCATTATCATCTTGAAATATATACATTGACATAGTAAAAGATATGATTTAAGAATTTCTAAATGCTTTTCACATTAATGAAACCTTCAATTAACGGTTTAAAATACACTTCGTGTAAAATATCATACTGATCACTTTTCGATTTGCAATTTTTCATAATACATTTAGTACTTCATAAGAATCGATCTAAATATTTTTAAACTTTTGATATACATTAATCATCATTGCTAATTATCATACTAAGATTTTTGAATTAGCAATAATCACTTCATGTGAGAAGCCTTAAAGGTTTTATAACTTTTTTGTTTTGCAAAATTGAGTAAATAAAGGTTTTTTAAAAATCAATATTATAACGTTTAAACTTTTATATAATTCGAAAGTTAAGAATCTCAGCTTTTTAACAAATTTTAATTTATCACCATTGTTACAAGGCAAGTATAAATTGATGGATTTAGTGGAATTTCGTGATCAAGAGAGAGTGATTAGACTAGTTATACTTATTGAATCTAATTCCTGTGCGGTACTGTATCTACGAATATCGTTCTGTGTATACGATTTAAAAGAAAGAATGCAAGTTAGTGATAGGGTTTGGGCGTGGGAATTGGGAGAGTTCGGAATTATTTGCGCGCAGGAATTAGAGAAATAGGAGTTGGTGTTTTGGTAAGATAACTCGAGAAAGGAGAAGGAGTGGAGAAGAGGATTACGCTTGTTAATTATTAACTATTCTAATTCGTAACCGATGCTTTTTCTAACTAAAAGCCCTAAACTCTTATTAATCAAATCAATCTCATTGATGCGTTTGCCTTTCTGGATCAAAGGACGTTGTCTTTTCCGGCACAAAGAACCTAACTAATTATGATTATAATTAAAAAGGGTTTTTACAAGTATTTTTATTTGTTAGCTTTTCTATTTTATAAAAAAATACTATAAATCTATTTTTTCGTAATATAATTCGATGACGAAAACATTCACAAAATAATAAAATATAACTAAAGATAATATAACTATAGAAAGGATTGTGTCGAAGATGTGCTGAAAAATGAAATGTGAGTGATCATGCTAAAAAAGATGTTGAAGAATCATGCGGCTGATACATGTACCCATTGTGCTGGAAAACATGTTGATCTATCGCGTATCCGATTTCGTGCAGCTTAAGGGTAGAGTTAAGTTGATTTTTTTAATTGGTGACAATTATGGCAAATTTTTTTATAATAACAAACTATACACCTGCTTCTTTCTTTATAATTTTCCTAATAAAATTACCTGAAATTATTAATAGTAGAAGAATTATTCAATATTACATCTAATAAACTGTTGCTTTAAAGATAAGAAACGATGATCAGTTTGTATTCTAGAACTTCTAGAAAACATGTATATGTTGATCAAATCATGTAACATGTATCTTTTTATTTATCAATCATCCATGGGGAAATATATTAATGTACAACAGACCTGATATTGCTTATTTTGGGGGGTCCTTAAAGCAAGGTAAGTCACAATGAGATGAGCCAATCAAATTTCAAGTTTGCCAAACTGGACCAATTGAATCGCGAAAAAAAAGTGAAAAAAATCGAAGAATCGTAAATAACTCAACATTTTACTATGACAACCACTTTAAAGTCACTAAATAAAAATGTTCGGAGTCGGATTTCACGTATAGTTTGTTATTAGAGATACTAAGATGTTTTCTAACAAAATTTTTGAAAAAATTTAAAAAAATGTCGTCTACCTTGCTTTAAGGATCCCCTTATTTTGGACTTAACATTCCAACAAGTAAGAATGAAATAAAATAGCAGTTATTTATGTCAGATTCTGATGTAAAATCTGAATTAATTCAAACTATAACTTAATGAGATTATCAAAAATTCTACAATTTTGGATGTACAGTCACCACAAAAAGTAACGCCCGATTTTCAATTATCATAAAACTTTAAATATAATTTCGATTTATTTTATTTTTTCATATTATATATAAAAAAGTTATTTCATATTTAATTAATATTTTGTTGGCCCTCCTTTTGCCTTCAATACCGCGTTAATTCTTGGCATTGAGTCAATAACCTCCCTAAGAATATTGACATCAAATTTCGACCACTCCTCCTTTAAGGTAGCTTTGACTCGTCCATGGTTCTTGGAAAGCTTTTGCGCTTTTGAATATTATCCTTTAACAGCTTCCAAATATTTTCTATAGGGTTAAGGTCAGGGGAATTCGCTGGCCAATCCATAATCTTGATTTTCTTTTCCTCAAACCATTTTTTAACTTTGATTGCAGTATGGATCGGGCATTATCTTGCAAGCATTATTTTTTCACCCATTAATGTACAAAATGTATTGTGAAATGGTAAAAGTTGAGTCTCTAGAATTCGAAGATAAGTATTTGCATTGATTATTTCTTTTTTTTTTCTTTATATTCGTCGCAATATATTAACGGTCCTTTCGTTTCTCCTGACATCCCAAACCATTACTGAGCATCGACCGCTTTTGAAAGTGGGTCATGATTATTTTCCAATCTCCACACTCGATTCATCCGAAAAATAATCTTCCACCAATCGGAAGGGGTTTTTTTGTTATATTTTCCGCACCAAGTAACACGCGCAATTGCACTCCTTTCCAAAATAAATGGCTTTTCTGCAGCAATATAAGATCGAATCCCACGGTCATGCACACATTCCTAGCAGTTGACAAACTGCAGTTAAGGTTTTGTTTACAATTTCGTGTAATGGTTCGAATCGCATTTTGGTGGCTTTTTGTTTAAGTACATTTTTTTGTCTATTGTTGAGAACTTGTGGTCTTCCGGACCGTGGTAAATTATCGATTTTTTTGGTCTTTTTATACTTAGCAATAAATCGTCGTATTGTGGTGGGGTCACGCTTCATCTTTCTTGCAATTTGTTCAGCGTTCATATTCTCCATATATGCTAGTATTTTTCCCTTCTCCATGTCAGTCATCTGGGTACGCATGGATGTCATAATTACATGAAAATTATTTATTAGTGGTTTGGTGAAGTTGACGAAGAGATTGACATAAAAATTGGGGATAAAGTTATTGATCTTGTTACACATGCAGATTGGGCGTTACTTTTTTTGAGGCGACTGTACATGTGTATGGCTGGTCAACCATTGTACAAAAGTAACGCCCGATTTTTTTAAAAATAAAATTTCGGATATATTTTATTTCTGTATTATGCATATAAAAATATTTTTTATCAATAGCTAATACATTATTAGCTCTTCATATGGCTCTAATATCGTTTTGATTTCTCAAGACATTAAGCCTACAACCTCCTAAAAAGCTAACACATCGAATTTCCTTCAGAGTAGTCTTAAGCTTTTTCGTGATCCTTGGGAAGCTTATACACTTTAGAATATTTTCCCCGATGACTTGGAGACATTTCTATGAGGTTTGGGTCATGAGAACACAATATTCATTGATTTCTTTATTTGATTCTATTCATGGCTTCTTTTCCTAATGTAGATCAATGAACAAATTATATTATGAAAAGGGACCAAATTACCTTAAAGAATCTTTAGATAAGCTTTTGCACAAATTTTTTTATTATCAATGTTGTGAAATGGCTCAGGGTATCTTTTTTTGCTTCTCGTATAGGTGCTTTTTTTCTTGATTTTTAAAAGTCTATGGTCTCCCAGAGAGTGATAAATTTTTGTTTTTCCCGTCTCTTTTGTATTTGGCAAGAGACCATTACACTATCATTGGGTTACAACACATTTTTCTTGATTTAAGAGAACATGATCAAAAAAAAAAATAAAACTTGATCTACTTAGGGAAAAAAATGAAATAAATTCAAAGAGTAAATCAGCGCCAAGCAAGCTGCAATAAACAAATTATATTACGAAAAGGGGTCAAATTAGCTTAGAGAACCTTCAGCTAAGTTTTTGCACAGATTTTTTATTACCAATGTTGTGAAATGGCTCAGGATGTCTTTTTTAGTTTCTTGTATATATGCATTTTTTTCTTGATAGTTATGGGCTTATGGTCTCTCAGACAGTGGTAAATTTTTGTTTTTCCTGTTTCTTTGTACTTGACAAGAGACCATTATACTCTAACCGGGTTACGCCACATTTTTCTTGCAACTTGCTTGACATTCATGACTTCATAAAAATCACTATTTTTATCCTTGTCAAAGATGGCCTACAGGTACGACAGGTATCATATTTACATCTAAAAAAATTTTCACCTAGTGTATGTTTAAAAGTAAAAGAAGAAAATAAAAAAAAATTAGCGTCAACAATAATATAAAATGATAATAAAACGCGACGCATATATTATCTATGTTGTTACACATGCAAATCGGGCGTTACTTTTTGTGGCGACTGTACACTTGGGCAATGATTGATGTCATTAAGGGGTAATTTCAAACATCTATTGTGCGACAAGGAAAGGTTCAATTATGATATACATTACTTCATTAGAAAGCTGAAATCTCAAGCTTTTAAATAAAATAAAGAAACCGATATCAAATCCAACCAATAATCGTCAAAATTACGAACTTACAAATTTTGAGCGCGGTGAGATCATCAGCACTTGGAAGTGTGGTTTGTCTGAAAAAAAAGGTCGGAGATACCCAAATCTACTGTAATTTGGAGTGATGAATCAAGATACCTAATATTCTGAAATGATTACCGGTAATAGGTTTGGCGCTGACCACATGAAAAATACGATGTTGATGTCTTCTTCCTAGTATGAAATCAGGCAATCAGGGATTAATAGTGTGGTGATGTTTTACTCAAAATTCACTTGGACCATTAATCGAAGTTAAAGGTGGAATAACCGGTCAAAAGTATATGGAACAGAATCTTCTGCCATTTCTAAATGATTTGCCAGGTAGTTCTATTCATCTTTTTCAAGATGATAATGCGCCAGTCCACAGATATGGTGCAGCCAATCAATGAAAAGAGGAAAATTTAATCACTTCACTTCCATGGCCTGCCCAGAGCCCTGATCTAAATCCAATTGGGCATTTGTGGGATGTTTTGGAAAGACGAATTCATGCACGTCCAACTCACCCCAAAATCTAGAAGAATTGATGGATGCACTTGCGGAGGAATGGGGAATTTGGTGCCGAAAAGGGTACAAGCTGTAATTGATGCTAATGGATATCCAACCCGACATTAATTATATGTATAAAAAGCCCTACTTTTACTGAATAAAATGATATTTTTTATTGTAATATATTTATGAAGAGGTCGAGTAATATAAAATTAAAGTATCACAAATTTCGCGATCTATATTGCTGATCATTTCCCGATTGCAGACTTTTGACTACCGAGTTATTTTTTGTTCTACATATCGATATGTGTACATTTTTACTAGTTCCCATGATTTTCTTTTTCGTTAAACCCATATTGTATTATCCAAAAGAGCGGGTCATGGGAACTTTGATAATGCGTCTTTTTTCTTCATTGTTATAAATTAACGATGTTATTAATCAAATGACAAGGAGAGTTACTGTAAATAGGTTCCACTATACTGTATTTATCAGATTACAAAAGTTCCGCAACTAACATGAGAAAACTTATATATATATGAACTACAAAAACGTGTACGGAAGAAAAGTTAAGGTTGCACAGCACTTTGTAGCATGCTTAAAATAGTATTAAAACAAAAAAAATGATTTATTCACATTTCCAAAGCTAACTTACGCGTTTATATGTTAACTCAAATCCAATATGTAAAATTAAATTCCACTGCCTTTGTTCATATAAATTCGCGAAATAGAACCTCCATCATTCTTATGACAATTCAGAAATTTCTTATTAAATAAGTTTCTTTCGAATTGCACGCATACACACACATATATATATATAAAGAAACTCTTCATTGTCTCCTGTTCGGAGTGTAAGCCACTAAAAACTACTATACAGCTAATTACTAAGCTTTATCGTCTTTTTAGTAATAATATAATGTGAATAAAGTTAATATATGTGGGAATTTAATGCAACGCTTTGTTAAAAATATAAAACGTTAGTATAAGTAATAATCTAATGCAGCGCTTTGTTAAAAATTATAAGAGAATGTTTTCTATACTTTTCTACACCGGAAGCAGGTGCTTTCCAGAAATAAAAAGATACCAGTGATGCTTTAATTGCTCCGAGATTTTTCGTACTATATAAATAACGAAGATTTTGTTGTTAGTCGATTTGTAACAAATCTCTTTGCTTTTCTCTAGAAAACAACAATTAATTATTAAATAAATTAATATTATTTTTCTTTTAATTGTACTAATTCTGTTCATCCGGAACCAATAATTTCAAATTATACCTTACCTATCTTCCAATGGAATATTGTTTAAAAGACTTCGTACCTTCATTTCCTCCCTATCCGCCAATGGAATATTGTTTAAAAGACTTTGTGCCCTCATTTCCTCCCTATCTTCCAACGGAATATTTTTTATCAATAAAAAGAAATGGTGGTTGTAAAAGTAAAGCTCCGAATGCATTTCTAATATTTCGAGCATGTATTACAGCAGAAATGAAAGATTTAAATCTACAAATAGGTGACGCTTGTAACATTTCTCGTTTTGCCAGCAATCATTGGAAAATATTACCAATGTATCAAAAAGATGCCTACAAAAAGATTTCGTCCGAATTAAAAGAGATTTTTCTATATAAACTTCCTAAAGTTCAGTATGAACGTTTTTCAGAGAAGGAAGTCGAGCTTAACTCAACCTCTAGAGACCAGTTTAGAAACTATCACGGGGAAGAAGGCAAGCTTACTCTGATTACTAACGATCAACCTGAAAACGTTTACGAGAAGGAAAACGAGCTCAACCTAAACTCTAATATTTGGTTTTCCCGTTATCAAGGCGGATGCAAACAAAATTTTAATTTTCAATTTAACAACTTTCTCAACTATCAAGACGAATTTGTCCAAAATCCTAACTTTCAGTGTAATTATTTTGCCTGTGTTCAAGACAAACTCACCCAAAATCATAATCTCCAATTAATAATACCCGATGAAAGAAAGGTTTCGTCATTTGTCAATTGCTAAGCTTTTCATCAAAGCAATTCTGTTTGACAAAACGTATGACGAAGCTTATGACTATCATTTCTTCTATGTAAACAAATTACATTATATAAGTTAACATATGTAATTTAGAGCTAATAATCGATTTCGATATTAGTTGCAACTATGATAAATCTTTCTTTGTCAGTGATAATGAATTACATGTACATGTATGAGCTGAATGATTATAAATATTCTAGAGAGATGCATAATCTCTGTACTACATGTAGAATGATGTGTGTAACTAAAAAAAAACAATAACACTTACGCAAACATTAACTTTGCCGAAAGAAAATTCCTATAGAATTCCTATTTTCCGCACTCAAGGTTTTGATTATCGTTAAAAATCCCTATCAAAATTCTTACTTTGCGCGTTATCCTTTTATTGCGTGATTCATAAATATTATAAAATAAATTTAATGTAATAATTATATATTAAAAAAATTAAAGTAGTAAAAAAATTTAATTATAAAGATATTTTTGGTGAAAATCCCTAATAAAATTTCCTTTTGTGCCTAATGATCCACGAAACCTGTTGTAATTTAGATAGTTGTGTAACATCGCCACGGCTTTTATCTCTGTGCCAAAACGAAATTGACAGCTTTATTTCTTTTGTGTTAAAACAAATCAAAGGCTTTACTTCTTTTACCATAAAAAACAGTTTAGTTATTACTAGATTATGTGATTATAATTGGAATAAACCTATTTTATCATTTGAATTGAATATTATTATTTTTGAACTTTACCTTTACCCTTTGATTACACAATCTTCCAAAGCAACAATGTAAATCATAATCAAAAAAATCAACATATATATGCATCAACTTTTTAAGGCAAAGTTATCAATTTCGTTGTGTATGAAAAAAATAAAAGTCGAAGTGCTGTTTAGACAAGAGTTTAAAATAATTTAATCGTTACTTTTTTTCAAATCATACATTGTTTACTTTACGGACAAACCTTCCAGTGCTATCCTAGATATGTATACAATTTAGTTATTATACAACCATCTAAATTATAAATTGTGATTTAGTGCGAAAGTTGTGAAATCGGTAAGAGATTTGTCCTAAAGAAAAAATATCTAGATCACCTGGCATAGGAGGACCTCATTCTGTAAAAAATACTCAACCCAGCTCATGCAACTACAATTCTTTAGTCAACCTAACTTCTGAATTGAATGTAACTGTATTTTAACATGAATTAGTAAATGTTGAATTCGGTTGAACAGAATTATCATAATTTCTTAACATTAAATAGTGATTTTTTTAAAATAGTGACGAATTCATAAAATATATAATAAATTATACTTTATTGGTATAATTCTCTCACATTACATGTATAATAATTATTTGATTTAATTTGAAGAACGAAAACCTCTATAAACAGTTTTTACTAAAAGATTTTGTAGTTCAGTATCGGTATTGCCTTTTCTGTAGTAGAAGATCCTAGTATGGTCAATCTTCACAGGTATTTCTTCAAATCAACAATTTTTTCTGTGTTTAAGACGAAATCCTAATCTTCAGTTAACAATTTTACGGTATTCCATCTAAAAATCATTAATTGACAATTTGCCGGCATTCAAGGCGAATTCATCCAAAATTTACTTTACTTTTTATGACAGATACAAGTCTAGCCAAAATAAATTGTGCTGGAATATTGACAAGCTAATGATAATTCCTAGCATAATGATTCGATAAAGAATACTAAAATATATGTTACGACACATACCGTATTTTCGCGAAATAACGCGTAAGGTGTAATCTCGAATTCGGCCTAATTAAGCCTTACGTGGGCCGTGATTCGAAATAGTGCGCATTATTTCGTGAAAATAAGGTATGCTAGTATGTTTAGAAAAATTAAATCAAGCAAGTTAAACTGCACTTGGTCTGGACTAGTTTTGAACTATAGCTAGACCAATACCAGATCTTCAAACAAGGTTATTTTTGGTATATTGGACTGGATGGTCTAACAATTAACGCCGCGCTGTTAGAACCTTTCTTCCTTAATATGTTACATTAAAATTTATAGAGTCGATTTATTGATGACAAATTTGAGAAAAATGGTTCGCACTTCCAGGGATTAGAGCTCTTTATTGTTCTAAAGATTTACTTCAGGAGTAACGACCCAGATGGTTTCAGTAACCAAAAAACTATGATACGCAAAATCAAAGGTTGGGACTTAGTTTCTGCAGCAAGATCGAAGTTAAGTTATGGAATATTTTGAGTGAAGGTCATTCATTGCTTGTACGAAGGCTTGAAGATAATCAAATAAAGGGAAAAATGGTTATTGCAAGCAAAGGAATAATTACTGGTAAGGATTTATTTGATTAGAGCATGCTTTTCAAAGGCATAATATCTCGCCTTTGTATACAAGTTGACTAATTTTATTCCTACGCTATTCTGCATTACATTTTAGTTTCTGAATATTAAGTTGAAGCACAATATGATTGATTGTCAACAGAGTATTGGGGAAATGTGAATCACCAGAAACATTGATCCAAAAAGGTTTAGTGCTTGCCAAAAATGGGTGTTGCTCAAGGAATTGGTCATAGTAAAAACTAATAAAGCAAAAATATGAATAAACTTACGAACTGTGTATCGAATATTAGCCCAAAGATTAGGACAATATCGTATGCTTATAAAAAGAATTATGGGCTCGCAAATCGCAAGGTTACTACAATAGCGTTATCCGTGTTAGATATTGAGGGGTTTGTTCGTGAATCAATTTAATTATTGCGGTTCCGATGTCCATTATTTGTACATGTACACTTAATGATACATGTACATGTAATCATTAAATGATAATTTCCAAAAATGGTATCGATAATCTCCCTTAAGGAATTTTAAGGAATTATGCAATTTAATGTTATTAAGCTAACAATATATTGATTTCCTAAACGATATTCTAAATATGGTTCAATTATCGATATCTTAAAGCAAAAGTCATAACTTAAACTCAATGTGCTAATCGTGAATATGTATATATGTCAAGTCAATAAAAATTATAATTTGCTATTAAACTACTGTACAAGGGATTAGTCAAACTTTACATGTACAATGTTCACATTCTAATACACGTTACTGTATAAACGATACTATATACCATTTCGAATCAAATAACGTACATGGACGCTATTTCGAAAATCAGATTTAGCAGAAAATGCACACGTGTACGTGCTCAAAATAACCCAGGTGAACGTTATGTCTCAATAATACTGTTACATTGTCTTCTAGAGATATTTGGTCTAAAGAAAAATAAAGCGTAACACGATAGCGAAAGAGTATAGACTTAATAATTTACAGGTAGAAGATTTATCTACGGGTTTTTCTGTGGTCACTTTATGAAAACAACCGTCAAACCTGAAGGGCTGGCAGTTAGTAAAGTATCTCGGACAATTCAGTTTATCGAGAGTTATTCGGTTTATCCAGGTACATTTTACTATAAACTGTCTCTGTATCCAACTTCCGTTATCCAGATTTAATTAATGATCAAGCTCGTTATTATCCAGGTTTGACTGTATTATACAGAATAGTTACAAGGGTGTTGGAGAATTGATCTACAAGGTATGTGTAGTTTCTGCTCATTACCAAAAGAGATTGGACTTATTGACGAGATCAACAAGCCAAAAATCAAACATAAAGCACTAAGCAACTTCAACAATTGGATTCATCCAATGTCAACAGAGCAAAATAAAAAAAGTAAATATGGCTTATTTAGAGTGGTGGTCTTGCACTTTTAATTAGGTTAGGCATAAATGAAATAAATCCATTTGTATGCAAGCTTTGAAGGTATGATAAAAGTATATTCACAAGCAAAAGGAATTATAACAAGAAAGACTCTTCTTAATTTTGTTTGCGTCTTTCTCTGTTCTTGTATGAAAGACCAAGAACTTGCCTTGATATGCCGATGAAATCTTTATTACTAATTATGGATAATTTTTATGTTCTATTGATCAAGTTTTGTATGAATTTTAATTTAATGCATTAAAAATTCTTTTTATATGTGTTCCAATTCACATAATTGCATGTTCTTTTATTATTCGTCATTAGTTTTTATCTTTCAATTAAATCAAAGGTGTTAATAAACATTGGAAGAACATAATAAAAGTTTAAGCAATATCGACATCAGGTGTTGGATATTAACACTGATTATTACAATAATAAATTATTAAAACTAATTATTACGATAACAATAACTTGTTAAATATCAATTATGCTGTCAATGTTAATTATTACATGTACAGTACATGTATCGGTATTGGGAAGTGGAGTTAATTGTTACGAATATAGCAACGATTTCCATATTACGATAATTATAAATATCAATAAATCAACCAACGCAATATCCGATACGAATAACTACTAAACGTTAACACTTACTAAAATGACCGACTCACTATTGACTTCACATTCAAACAATTTGGCCGAATTCTACGAAAAGGGCAATTTTTGCGATATTTCAATAATTGCTGGTGATGACGATGCACAGCGCACCTTTACCGCACACTCGTCAATTTTAATGGCACAGTCTAAACATTTTGCTGTGGCACTTTCTGAGGCGTGGATGAAGCGAGAACCATGTAAAATGATTGTTTTTAGGAAACCAAATATCTCACCACATGTATTTGAATTCTTATTGAGGTAACTTAAATCTGTTAACTTTTAATATACGAGAAAAACAAATAAAATTAAGTTTGAATTTGATGATGTTTTAGATATATGTATTGCGGCAAAATTGACTTGAAAGAACATGGAATGTCGACACTTCTAGACTTATTGATTGCTGCGGATGAGTTGATTCTTAACCGTTTAATTGAATACATTCAAGACTATCTTGTGGAACACCATATCGATTCTATGACTAAAAATTTTGCCGCAATTAATCAGATTGTATTCGAACACAACTCTTTCACGAAACTTTGCAAATTCTGCACGGATATTATTTGTCAAAATCCTGCTGCTGTTTTTCAATCGAAAGATTTTGTAAAGTTGCAAGAGTCTGCGCTAGTATCTTTGCTCAAACGCGATGATCTGAAACTTCAAGAAATTGATATTTGGGAGAAGGTTCTTGAATGGGGAACTGCTCAAGTCGCCGGTTCTGAGAATGTGAATTTTTCGATCCCCGTAGAGAAATGGACACAAAACGAATTTACACAATTAAAATCCACACTTGAACAATGTTTACCGTTGATTCGTTTCTTTCATATAAACGCCGTTGATTTTTATAATGAAGTAATGCCCTATTCGGAACTCTTACCAGAAAAATTACACAAGGATTTATTGCACCATTACTTGGTTCCCGGAAGTGAAGTTTCTCAAGCTAACAAACACCTTATTCGTAATTCTAAGGATAATCACACGGCGCATATACTTACCCGAAAACAATTCAAAATGATAAGAGAATGGATAAAGTCGCAAGATTCAAAAATGAATTCCCTCGATTTAAAGCCACTGTTACGAGGTAGTCGAGACGGATTATCTGCTGCTGCGTTTCATCAACTTTGTGATAATAAAGGTCCAACAGTTGTTGCCATTCGGGTTAAAGATTCGGAAAAAGTAATTGGTGGGTATAATCCATTGGAATGGCATTCAAGCAACCAATGTTATCATGGACCAAATAGCTTTTTATTCCGATTTGATCCAAATGAATCCGGCGAACTTAAAAGTAATTATATAAGTGCAGAGGATAACGATAATATACGATGTTACCAAGATCATGGGCCAATTTTTGGAAGTGACTTGATCTTATTTAATTCATTCGTCGAAAATCATAATCATTGTCGAAAAGGTTCATATGAACATGGTCTGTTGAGCTCTGATAATAGTAGAATTACTTTTGAGATTGATGATTATGAAGTATTTCAAATTGTGCAAACTAACTAGTTTTTTGATTTTTCGATAATCTTTCAATTTATAGCAAATAATATTAAAACTTTAACTATAGAAATATTTAGAGTATTGGAATGAACTTTTATTTTGTAGTTTTCATATTTATAAAGTTATTAAAATTCTTAAATTTATCTGTGAAGTATTGCATAATCAACTTCCTAGATTTCATAGAAAATGTGCAATTAAAATCAAAAAAAATTGTCAATTCTAAATTATCAGATGAATTTAAATTTTTATCAATAACTTAAATATAGATTCATGTATCACATTCGATGACCAGCTGATCAAAAGTTGGCACTATTTTTTTAAAGTTCAAAAAATAGGGTAAAGGATCAGCACGGAGATGTTGCTTATATCCCCAAAATATGGTAACTGACTTTTAACAGGTATCCAAATCATAATTACTACAGAAAAGTATATGCATATCTTTGGATTGGGATTATTAGATTAATACTATTTCTTACGTTCCTAATGTTATTAAATACTGACCCTGTAAAAAATATTCGAACCTTAATTTAATCCATCTTTTTTTAATAAAATAAATTATTTCTTCCGCAAATTAACTCACAGTGTGATTTCTTAAAATCTCAGTTAATAATTTACAAACCTTGAGGTTAAATTAAGGTTTGAATTCTTTTAAATTTCTTACAGGGGGGGTACTATACAGAGCGCTTTACGGTAAGTGCAAACAATTGTTACTTCACGCCAAATAAACGATAATGCAAATATCGTTTAACTATGAAAAATGATTTAATTTCATGAGTAAAACTGTCTTAAATATATTTACAATTTAATTTTTATGGATTTGCAAGCTCAATTTGAACATTTTTTGTAATATCATATTCTATATATTTTTAATTTATTTTAAAAATGATTTCTATCAAATGTTCAAGTGTCATTTATTCCGTTGAAGTTTAGTAGATCGAATTATCCAATTTTCAAATCAGTCTTTGATTTAAAGCCCACTACACTATGCTGATTGCTAATCCAATTGTAACATTTGCCCAGAAAATCCAGTTTTTATAGAGAGGTTGTTCTTATATAAAGTGAGCTATGACTTATGAAAAGCAACACAATGATTTTTGGATGTATAATTTATTGCATTTTCACATTCAATTTGGAAGTTAGGTTGACTAACGACTAGAGATGTAGCAAGTGTTGAAGATGATTTGCACGAAGTGGGTTTCACTGAGATTCTAAAGGTCTTCTGTGCCAATCTTTTGAAGAGTTTGAGCGAGCAATCAAGAGCAAAAGTAAGGTTTAAACTAATAATTCAATTCCAAGAAGCAAAATTTACTATTTCAACTAACACAAATAACAAATTTTTTAACGATTCCAAGACAATAATGCATATTCAAAACAAAATAACAAAAATCGATATTCGAATTGTAAAACAATACAAACAATAGAACTATTATCAAAATAATAATATTAATATTAAAGTAATAAAAAGACAATATCAGAACAATAAAATCTATATCAAAGAAATCAAACCCAATTTATCAACTTGATGGCAAAGCAATAAAGCCTTCGATTTGTTAAGCACGAGAGAATTAAAGCTATTGATTTCGTTTTGATACAAAAGAAATAAATGTTGAGACGTAGTTAGGTAGGAATTTTTGTAAGAATTTCTGGGATCGCATTAATGTTGATACTACAAAGAATTTATTTTTCAATTTTGTGTCGGATTTGGTTTGCCGGGTTGATTAAAAAATTTGCGCACCCCTATATTGGACATGGATCACATGATGAACTACGCTTTGACCGTTCCGGACAGTGCTGGATCAGGTGATTTTTCCGGATCGCATTAATGTTGATACTACAAAGAATTTAATAGGAATTTTTGGGATCGCGTCACAAAATAGGAGAATTTCTGGGATCTATGCGTAGGCATTTCGGATAATCCTAATTCGTTACAAATTACTCATAGGAGTGCAAAACCAAGAAATTCTGCAGCACACCAGAACATTCTGTGATCAAGAGATTTTTCTTTGCAACGGCAACATTATCACTAAATTTGATTTTATTCTTATTTATTGTTTATAGCATGAAAATTCAATGAACCAATTTAGAATAATGAACTAATTTAGAATATGAAGCAAATTGCTTTCAGATCTAAATGATGTTCCCAATTTAATTATCTTGAAGATTTTTGTCGACTATGTGTACTTAAAAATTGTTTAAAATGCTCACTTTGACAAACTAGCATTTATTGATTTTTAAATATAAAAGTAATTAATGAGTTAATTTCAAATGCTCGACTATTTTATGCCTTCCTTTCCTCCTTATCTTCCAAATGGCACATTTTTTAATGAAAAAAGAAACGACGATTGTCAACATAAGCACCGTACGCATTTTTAATATTTGAGCATGCATCATAGAAGAAATGAAAGCGTTAAATTTCAAATAATTGACGTTCGTAAGATTTCTCATTTGCTAGCAATCATTAGAAAATGCAAAATATAAAAAGCATATGAAAAAATTTGTATGTATCACGGGGAGGAATATGAATGAAAATATTTCTATTTTTGAAAGATCTCTCGGAAAGAATATAACAAAACGAATCTTGCAAATATCAATAATAAGCATTTCGACTATTTCTAATCAAACCAACTGATTTACTGGATAAGTCAAATGCACCCTTTGTAAGTGTACATACGTAGCATTCTCAGGCTTAGCCACGAGCTCTAGTTACATTACTAAATTACCCTATCTAAATACACGTTCATGAGAGTTGCAATTAGAGGGTTTCTATTGATACAGTATTATGCTGGTATTACGCACCGTATGAATTAAACTAATATAATAATGCAACGATAATGGTCCATTTTTTTTAAAATATAAATACGACAAGAGGACAACATTTTCATTTTGTTCCTGCCTTAAATATGCATTTTGTAATTTGAATGAGCAAATTTCCTTTTTCATAATAGATAATCAACATAATGATTGAATCTTTGTACGAACATTCCCTATTGGACATAACGATATTACACAGACCAGTCATCACCTAAAAAAACAAAGCTTTTAGTAGAAACCGATATTGTTTATGTTTTTGATAAAGGACTTTAGAAACTTGAATTACAAGGAACTTTCGTCATTTACGTTTGTTTATATAAAGTCATTCATTAGAGGGAGGAAATTTTCTTAGAAAGTTTGAATTTTATCTCTCAAGTCACTTGCAAAGAAAGCATCGAAGTCATTTTCTTCGAGTTAACTTTGTATCTAAATCAAATTTTATATGACTTCATTCTTCAAATGCCAGATTAGTAAATACTGTATAACGATAACGCGTACCTTGACTAAGACAAATTTAGTAATCAATCTTCTGACTTCCAAACCACAGATTAACAAGTATTAATTCTCATATCGATATATTTAGCTTTTAGTTGAACTATATAGCATTTGATTTCGAATTTAAAGTTTAATGAGTATTTACATTTACATACCCTGCATACATTTATTAGTCCTTGCATTACATTTGTTTTAACTTAATGTTTCAAATAACACGAACAACTTTGGAGACACTTTTATTGACGCAGCCTACTGATTTCGAATTTAAAGTTTAATGAGCATTTACATTTAAATGCCCTGTATACATTTAAATTCCTTTATTAGTCCTTACATCTGTTTTAACTTAATGTTTCAAATAACACGAACAACTTTGGAGGAACTTTTATTGACGCTGCCTTACGTAAGACTGAATGAGAAAGTAGCTATTCAACAAATACTCAATGGTTAATATAATTTTGTGTATTTGGTATACGATCTATGATGTTTGGTTTCATAAAATTTGAGCTAACTTTGTATATATCTTAAGCTTTTAAAAAAATTATGAATAAATATCCTTATTTTTTCATTTCATTTTCTAAAACTTAATCAATTTAAACAACCAAAAAAACCAACTTTCTTTTAGCTGTCCAAAATTCTGTTCATTCCCTATCTTCTAATGGAATACTTCGCACCTTCATTTCCTCCCTACCTTCCAATAGAATATTTTGTAACAAACAAAAGAAATGGCGATTTTAAAAGCAAAGCACCGAGCTCATTTTTAATATTTCGTGCATGCATTACAGCAGAAATGAAAGATAAAAATCTACAAATTGGTGACGGTCGTAACATTTCTGGTTTTGCTGGCAATCACTGGAAATGTCTGCCAAAAAATCAAAAAGTAGCATACAAAAAAATGTCGGACGAATTAAACAAGATTTTTTCATCTGAAGAGTATCGTGAAAATTTTCCCGAGCAGGAAGTCGCGCTCAACACAATCTCTTATGATCATGTTGGAAACTTTCACAGGGAGGAAGGTAGGCTCAACCTAATTGCTAACGATCAGCCTGACAACGTTTACGAGAAGGAGGGCGAGTTCAACCTACTTACTAACGGCCAACCTGAAAACGCTTACGAGAAGGAGGACGTGTTCAACCTCCTTGCTGACGGCCAATTTGAAAACGTTTACGAGAAGGAAGAGAAGTTCAACCTACTTACTAACGGTCAAGCTGAAAACGTTTACGAGAAGGAAGAGAAGTTCAACCTACTTACTAACGGTCAAGCTGAAAACATTTACGAAAAGGAAGATATGTTCAACCTCCTTACTGACGGTCAAGCTGAAAACGTTTACGAGAAGGAAGACGTGTTCAACCTCCTCACTGACGGTCAAGCTGAAAACGTTTACGAGAATGAGGACGAGTTCAACCTATTTACTAACGGCCAACCTGAAAACGCTTACGAGAAGGAGGACGTATTCAACCTCCTTACTGACGGTCAACCTGAAAATGTTTACAAGAAGGAAGAGAAGTTCAACCTACTTACTAACGGTCAAGCTGAAAACGTTTACAAAAAGGAAGACATGTTCAACCTCCTTACTGACGGTCAAGCTGAAAATGTTTACAAGAAGGAAGACGTGCTCAACCTACAACCTGAAAACATTTACGAGAATGAGGACGAGTTCAACCTACTTATTAACAGTCAGCCTGAAAACGTTTACGAGAAGGAAGACGTGCTCGACCTAAACATTAATACTTGCTCTCACGGTTATCAAGGCGGATACAACCAAAATCTTAATTTTCGATATAACAACTTTCTTAATTATCAAGTCGAATCCGTCCAGAATCCTAATCTTCAGTTTAACGATTTTAGCCGTGTTCATTATGTTCAGAGTGAACTCACCCAAAATTATAATTTTACATTTAACACTTTTACTGGTGATCAAGGCGAACTAATCCACCATCAATTCGACAATTTTGCCGATCCTCAAGATGGATTCAACCAAAATCCTAACCTTAGTTCTAAATTTACCGGTTTCCATCAAACCTCTTTAGCTAGAAGCGACCTCAAGTAAAACATTTAATTGAGGAATACATATTTAAAATAAACTAATTATATGCTGCAACAAACATGTAAATTTTAGTATTTCCTTTATCTAAAATTTAGAGCATCAAACTTTAAACGCTGTATAACAGTGTTGTACATTGGACAGCTTAGACAAGGTTTGGACAGTTGAGCAAATAATTAGCAATAGCTCGAAATTTTATTTTAATAATTTGCTTTGAAGCTTTAAGTAACAGTGATTTTTTGCACATATAAAATACATTTATAATATAATTTTTTAAATTAAATAAAGAGTTTGGCATGCTTGGACATGTTGGACTTGGACAAAAAAGTTTAGAGATCTGCAAAAGGTAGAAAAAAGCTCGTATCAATATTGCTTTCAAATATAAACCAAATGCTAGAAAATTTAATGAGCTTAATATTACAATTGTGAATGCGTGCATATGTGAATTCGTTACTTAAATTGTGAATATGATTCTATTTAATACACATAGTAAGTCTACTTAAGATGTCCATCATTCTGATAATTGATACGTCATTTCCCTATAAAAAATTTTAATGAATATGATCCGGTTTAGGTCCAGTTTATTTATTTCGAAAAAACTTTTCATTATTTGTTTCTGCTCCGTAACATGTAAATTTTCAGAATGAAACTATCAGATACTTTTCTATTATACATTTAGAATATAAACTGAAGTTACAAGTATTTTATTAATAGTTCCTCACCATACAAACATTTTAAGAAGTAAATCAATTAAGTGGTGATTCACATGCAGATTCAAAAAATTGATATATCCTTAAGATCTCAATATGACATTTTTTCAAATAAAGAAACATTCTTGTTCATGTATCTTTTACAAATATTACATTATAAAGCTTGTATAAATGTTAAACAGGTCACATAATAAAAATTTTCATTTAATCAAAATAACAACTTTATGATAAAGTCAGAATTTTGGCCAAAATCTATTAATAAACATTTATTTAATAAGTCTTATTTCAGGTAAAAAGTGATATTAACTTGTTTTTAATAAATAGCACGATTTATGACAGATTTCTTTAATTTCATCTTATGCTTAAATTATTTGAAACTACTATATTAATTCTTACTAAGATTAATCAAATTCAATTTCAAATATTCTAATGATAATACTCAGAATTATACAATGCATCAACAAAGTTAAAAATTTTAATAATTTAATTAAGTTAATGAAAAAATATAGAAATATATTCAAAATATAAATTTAAGTTTTAAGTGCAACTTTAATTATAGTTAGCAGATATAATAATAATATTACAAAATAATATATTAATAATATATAATAAAAATAATTTATATAAAGTAAACTATATAAATATATGATTATTTTTTAGATATCAAAATTAATAAGAATTATTTTATTAATTTATTATTTTCAAGAAAATAAATTCAAAAGTAATAATTTTAATACTAACTTTATTAATTACAAGATAGAGTTATATAATATGAAAATAATGAAATATTATTTAAAAATTATTATCAAAATGATTTTTAATTTTAAGCAAAATAATATATATTATTTTAGTATTTATAATTAATAATAATTTAATAAAAAACTTTTAATTATATAATAATTTATATTTATCTTATAAAAAATTAAGTTTTTTTCAAAATAAAGTAATTTTTATTTTTATTCTAACTCTATTTTATAAAATAATACTTATAAATAATATTATATTTAATATATTATATATAATATATTAATAGATTTATATATAAAATAAAATTATTTTTATATCAAAAAATATATTAATTATATAAACTTATAATTTTGATTTTAATTTTTAATTTAATATAGTTTAATTATATATAATATATTATATTTTTTATTTTTTAGCTTAAAATATTATAATATATTCTAAAACTTATTTTTTATTTTTATATTTTATAATTATTAAATAATTTTATATATATTATATATTGTTATTGTAGTGATATAAAATTCCTTAATTTCTTAATCTTTTCTTGATTATGTAAAATTATATATTTTTATATTTTTTATTTATTTTATAAATATTCCTATTTTTATATCATATATTACTATATCATATTTCTATTTTTAAACACTATATTCTATTTAATATTTGAGATTTACATTTTTATTATCTTGTAATATGATATTCTTGTATATAGTAAAATAGTATAGTGAAAAATCATTTTTAATTTTGATGAAACCGGTAAATTTAGAACTAAGGTTAGGATTTTGGT